CTTTACGACTTGATCTTGTGATTTAAGATTTTTGGGTGATGGCTGATGATATTCCGGTGAAGGTTTTCGTACGGTCGAGACCATTTAGCGACAAGGAAAAACTCGAAAGCGCTAGAGAATGCTTACAGATTTTTGTTGAGTCAAATCAGGTAAGTTAGATTACTTTCGCCATTTCCTTTATAATTTCACTAGCTTTCCAGTGGCCATAACACCTTAGAAGTTTAACTGACATTTGATTATAGTTTGGGGCAATCAGTGTAAGCACTTGCCTCCGTCCTCTTCAGTGCACTCCCGCCTTATACTGACATTTGACCTCTATTTCATTTCAGTGTCTAATTACCTTTTTCCTGATCAAACATTTCTAAACATAGTCATGAATTTTTCGTTTCCACCATGATTCAAGCCCTACCAACTCTGGTACTTGGATCGCGCTCATTAAATCTTACCCTTTTTGATTTCGATCTCTAGAACGTTTTTCAGAAAAGTGAGCGAGTTTTGTTTATGGTTCCGCCCATCTCAGCACACGTCCTATCCACTGTCAAAATTTGACTTTTTCCTCTCGGTGGCCTCTTACCCCCTTTTTTACGGAATTTTAAAGCGTTTTGAACAGAGCTATGAATTTTGATAGCGAGTTCCTTCCAATCAGGAGCATTAACTACCCCTTGTAGACGGAGTTGTGCTTGATTTAGTCATGCTTGGCATACATTAGGTCTTGCTTATTTCTACAATTTTTTCTAGCCTTCAAAACGTTCTTAATCGACTTACGAGTTGTTGTGGCAAGTTCCGATGACGGTCTACATCATGGGAGTGAATCTCCTTCTTTTCACTTGCCGACTAGTTCCTCACCTTTGCCGTTTTTTCTTGGTGTCTGAATTAATCCAAACCCATATTAGGAACTTTTACCCTCTCATTTACGTGCATGTCACTTCTTCCGTGCGTGAAACTCTGCTGTGCTCACATGCACTCTCTGGTTCTTGCCCGAACTCCCAGCGCCCCAGACTTGTTCCAACTTCACCGGCTTCTTCAGCTAATAACGGTTTTGATAGACAAGATAAACAAACAGAAAACAAATAGGCAGGCAGACAGACAGAGTGCTTTATGAATAGTGTGCATACTTACATGGTACATCCGTCTTACAGGTAATTCTCTATGAAAGTTGGCCTACTTTTAGATAACATGTAACGGAAAAACTTTTACATTCGACGGTGTTTTGGACCCTTCGACTTCGCAAGATTCCGTCTATGAAGTCACCACCTCATTTCTTCTTGAGCAGTTTTTCAAAGGTATGTTGTACAGATTCTCAACCTTCATACTCCCTGTTTGCAGTTGTAAGTAATTGTTGTGACCTTTGTTAAGGATTCAATTGTACTGTGTTGGCTTATGGTCAGACAGGGAGTGGTAAGACTTTCACTATGGGCACGGAAGAGACTACAGCTAGCATAAAAAGTGAGAGCAGAGGTATCATCCCCCGGCTTGTTGAAGCGATATTTCATCAGATCAATGAAGGTGGTCTCGATATGTGCTTCAAGGTAGGTGTTTTAGCGGAATGTTCTCTCCTTACTTTCACCGTATTACTGCCCTTTTTTGAGAAGCAGTCCCTGGTAGTAAGATGATCTTGAATGTCTATTTAGGTGTTCGTGTCAATGCTCGAGATATATGATGAAAAAGTACACGACCTTCTATGTAGCGGTCGAGAACCTCTTCAAGTTCGCGAGCATAGTGGAAGCGTCTTTGTAAGTTGTTGCTTGGATCGGATTATCAACTGATATGGAACTATCGACATATTTTCAGGTGCAAGGGTTATCAAAAAGCCAAGTATGTAACTTGAAGGAAACCATGACACAACTTGAGAAGGGAGGATCTCTCAGGAGTAAGGGGCAGACAGCAATGAATGCTCAGAGCAGCAGATCACATGCTATATTTACAATTTCGCTGGAGAAGACGGCTTCAGGAGAGGAGTAAGTATAATATGTCCCAAGGGATTGCTCTTTTGAAAATAAGCGCGCATTGTATATGTAGAGATAATGGTTTCACGGCCAAACTACATCTGGTGGATCTCGCTGGTTCCGAGCGGCTCAAGAAAACTCAAGCTGAAGGAACGCGTAAAATGGAAGGTATACGGATTAATGAAGGTCTGTTGTTACCATCATTTTGGGACTAAAAAATAACTCTGGCTCTCAAAAATGATATTCGTGGCTGTAGTTTTATGTTGTTGTAGGCTTACTCGCGTTGGGAAATGTCATATCTGCGCTGTCGGAATCCGCTGGTAATAGGCATATTCCATACAGAGATTCAAAAATCACTCGCCTGCTACAGGGTGAGTGTCTTCAGAATATTCTTGTTTTTTTTGGGTCAAAATCGAACTTTTCAGATTCCTTGGGAGGTAATTCATATACGGTCATGATAGCGTGCGTCTCTCCTGCTGATTCGAATGCTGAGGAAACTCTGAGCACCTTGAGGTTAGACTTTTTTGAAGTTTCATTCTCGAGCGCAAGTTTTACAAATGGAGATTCAGTGAGAGTCATTGTGCTTATACTTCATTCTGTCCGAAAGTTTTGTTTGAAAACCGCCCTGTAAATTTTCCGACGAACCCCTCTCGTGGTCTGCAACTGCGGACTTGTGTGGGAATTCATGAAATTTATTTGTTCATTTTTCTTAATTTTATGTTATGTCCTGCTCATCGTTGCCTTCTGTTGAGAAAGCTTATATTATGTTTTCCTTTTTTATTTTCCTTCCTAAATCTACTCTCATGATGGAAGGGACGTTAGCAGACTAGCTTCCAGAACCCAAAATCCAAGATCCATCAACGGCGTTGCGCATTGAATGTGTCACTAAGTGACAGAAACTTCTATTTTAGGTATGCAGATCGAGCCAAAAAGATCAAAAACAAACCTGTTGTTAATATCGATGCTGGTCAACAAAAGATTATCGAGCTCAAGGAGAAGGTTTGCAATAGTAGCTATCTGCCTTCCGTTTTTGATGATTCACCTTTGATTCTCCAGGTTGCTACGCTCGAAAGGGAACTGGCTGAAGCACGCATGGGATTTGCTCCTTGTGGTGAAATAAGGTGAGAATTTTTCTATAAAATTTTTGCGTCGGCTTTGATTACTGACATATCCTTGTAATGTTTATTGCGTATTCCTTCCAAGATTCCTTTCACGGATATCAGCCTTTCAACCGACTATTCCAGTTCATTCGAAATCGAGCAGCTGAAATCATCTTTGGCTGAGAAGGATGCTCTTCTGAAGTATGCACATGAAAAGGCTGCCGAAGTGATTTGTCAAAAGGCACGTAAGAAATCCCTGCTGTCGTTAGCAGTTCCATTGCCTTCCTTGTTTCACAGATATTGCATCATTACTTATTTTGCAGAGTAAGCTGTGCAATCAGTTGCAGCATCTTGAAGACGATCGTGAGCGACTGAAATCACTTGTAACACAAACGCTCGAAGTTCTCAGGTGGCTTTTTGTTTCAGTTTATCCTAATTTTTGATCTTTTCATAGCAAATACACTGAAGTCGAATGTAGCGTTCTGTATTGAATCATTCTCACTTATTGGAATCTTCTGGAAGTGTTTCGCCAGTCACTAGTATGACTAGCTACAATATTTTTTCATATTTCCTATTCGGAAGCTAGTATTAAATAAGTTCAATATGCAAGCTGCAACGGATTAGTTTCTTAGTAATTCTCTTGCATTTTTTATTACTTAAGTCAGCTAGTAGCTTCATAGGCGAAGGCAGTATAAATACTTCAATTCTCTGACTCCTAATTTGAGTTTTCCGGCTTACAATGCTTACTTCACCTCCACACTGCTTCAACTCCATTTTTCTTCAATCTTTTCCTTAGCATTTATGTGATACTGATTGTGGGACGAATTGCGCTAGGGAATGGTTCCCTTCCATAAGCTGGGTAAACAGTTTGCCTCTTCTATTCTTACCCTAGCTTGAAACCTTTTCGATGTTATTATTTCCTTGTCGCAAGACTTTCTCACTTTCGTCTTTACTCAGCTGGTAACTTTACAAGGAACCACAATTACTGTAGTTATTTTTATTTTTCGGTTCTCTTAGGGATGGCGAAAACATAGAGAAATCTGAAATGCTCGTGCGTATAAACGAAATATTGAATGGGGCCTTGATCGAAGAGGAGGTGGGTTTTTCTTTCTTTTTCATTTCCGACCTTTACTTTAACTTCTCCTATCAGGACCAAGATCCTTCACTGTCAAAGGAAGCTGGCGGAGACTTCGATGAAGAGGCGATGGATGAGACGTTCAGCATGAAGTGAGATATGAATAACTTTTCAATAGTTTTTCCCGCAATTACTCCTTCAGGATGATTTTTTTATCCTGAAGAGGATTTGAGATTATGACTTTGTCCAATTCGCTGGCCCCTATGCAAAACCGGCTTTAGGATTGACTGGCCGTCTCCCTTTTTTTTTTACTATGCAGTCAAAATTTAGATGATTGGTGCCTTCGCCATTTTCAGGGGTTTATGTAATATCTTTTCGTTATCTAGTATTTATAGTCATCGGCAGAACCATTTATCTCATGCCGATATTCGTCTGTTCATGTCTTGTTCAGATTTGTCGATAAGCAAACTAATCTTGACAAGGAGCTCGATGATGTAATGCAGCAAATCAAGGACAAGGAAGAGTTGCTACAAAAGGCAATAGAAAGTCAAAAAAATGTTGACGACTTGATGAAGCAGCATAAGGTCTACTATACGATTCCTAGCTCCTTATTCTCTTATTAAATTGAAGTTTTTTTTAGCAAGAAATGGCAAGTCTTCAACAGAGGATTGATGCTCTCATGGCTGAGAAAGCAAAACTTGAAGCGGATCTGAAAAAGTTCTCTATCAATAACAAGTGAGTTTAGTGATTTCTCGTTTCTGTAGTTGCAAGGGTAGACTTCGCAATTACGATCAATTGTACTTTGGCTTTACCTATTTTTCTTTTTCATTGTTGTATTGTGTAGGCTAGCTGAGGAACGAAGAAGAAAATTGGTGGAAATGGAAAAGCAGTTGGCTCAATTTAAGAAGCAGATGAATGAAATGAAGAGATTAGAGAAACAGAAGCAGCAAAGCGAAGAAATCCAGAAACGAATGCAAGCTGAAATTGCTACGTTGAAGCAGGTCAGTATCAAGATGGCTTGAATCTGTTTCATGTGCAGTTTTTCATGTCTTGTTGTAAGTTGATGTAAAGTATCACATTTTTTGAATGTTTTTCACGTGTTCCCTCAGAGCATAAATAAAACTCCAATTTTCGAGTTTGAAAATGAAACTACTTTGCAGGCGAAAGTACGCATGGTAAAACAGCAAAAAGAAGAAGCGGAAAAGTACCGCCAGTGGAAATTGAAACACGATCGAGAATTGATCCAAGTGAAACAAAAGGTGAACGACCGTTACCTTGTTGGCTGCAAGTGTTGATCCCACGCTATTTCAGGAGCGTAAAAGAGATTTCGAAGCAGCTCGTGAGAAAAGAGTTCATGATCAACAAATGTTGGTTTGCAAACAAAAGCTGGAAGAAGCAAAAAATGTCAACAAGCGTTTATTAGCTCAAATGGAACGAAGCGCAGCGTTCTCACGTGAAAAAGCCGACTCTGAGAAGACCGTTGATCAAGCTAAGGTTGCGATCTTGGGTGCCTTATCGTTGTGCAGTTATCCGTTATAAGATTTTGTTATTATTTAGCGGTTCATCGAAGCTGAACTATCGCTTATCGGAAGCTCCTACGAGGCAGAGCAAATGTGCCAGTCCTTGAAAGATCAGAGGAGGCAACTTGGACGGAAGAAAGCTCGTTTATTGCTGCAAAGAGAACTCTATGTGTCTCCCGATGAACCATTGAAGAAGGTGCATAGCGCTAAAGATTTCATGTTGAATTCCTCATTGAGTTTTTTTCTGTTTTAGCGACGATCTACAGAGGAAGGATATGATCTCTCTGCCGAAGATAAAGAAGCATTGCAGAAAATAGAAGAAGATTTGGAGAAGATCGATCATCAACAGATGCTATGGTGAGTGCTATTTTATAATATAATTCCTCGAAAAAAGAATTTCCTATGAGTTGACTGGGTAGCGAATTTGTCCACTTCGAACTGTAGGATATTGAAACTTAGTGGTAGCTCATCTACTGCCAAACTGTCCTTTTCAGTGGAGATGAATTAAACAAACTCCAGAGGGGTTGTGGTTCTATTGATGTTGATAGCAGAGCAGAATCTCGTTGGAAAGATCTTTCCACTCTCACCACGGCACGCGCATACTTGAAGGCTTTGTTTGATCAGGTAACATTTCGAAGAAATGTCTTACAATACTTACTTATAAAGCTTCACAATACTTACATATAGAACTAAACTGTCAACGCAGATTTCCTTCCTTATTTTCCTTAATCAAATACACGACTTTTTGCAACTGTGAAGGGATCTATTAGGAATTTGCGTAGATCGATCATTTCTTACTTCGTAGCCTGGGCCCTATCAAATTATCTCATGATTAGAAACGGCATTGTGGTCGCATTTTTCCGACATTGTGTTAGCTTTATATTGAAGAACTGTTTATAATAAACGTGTCTTAATGATTAAGATAAGTAGAATCTCGTTCCGAGGAGAGAGTTGAAGGGTTTTTGTTTGACAATACAATCTCAATTGCATGCGTTTTTACCGAAAACGGATCATGGCAAGTCGTAGTGTAGTACTGACTTTAGTTGACTAGAGTAACGTCTCTATGAGTATATGCAAACCGCTAGTTTTCCTTAATCCTGACGTGAAACCTGTGTGCACGGCTTGAGGCTTGTACCCGTGGGATCCAGAGGCAACTTCATCAGGCTTAAGTTTCGGCCTCTTCTTCTTCTTCAAAGCATGAGCAATCGAGAAACAAACTTAGAAAGAAGACTGAAATCATTGTTCCTCCAAAAAAGCGTTGAATTCCTCTTGTTTTGTTTTCTTAGTTTCGAATTTTTCTTCCCACAATCTCTCGGCTCTATCCGATTTAGGCTGTAAATGAACGTCGTACGACTATTGATCTGGAGATCCAGTTGAAACGTCTTCAAAACAAAATCAAAGATTTGGAAAGCAGTGCTCGTGAGAAGAAGGTCAACACCATTTCTTCAGTATCGTAGAGAAGACATATGTAGATTGGTGACGAAATACTTACTAAATTACTTTTAGAAAGAGCATGAAGACGAGCTGGGAACGCTCAAGGAAAAGCATCGAAAAACTCTTGTGGAATATGAAAAGCAACGAGCACATGCAGAAATGCAGGTGTAATATTGTTCCTTTGTTATCCGAAACAGAACTTTGTGATCTAATACCCGTTAAGGATGTGTCTAATGGCTGTGGGAGAATCTAATTAGAAATTTATGTAGAGAGTACACTCTCTCTGAGGACGCTCCACCCGCCCCCGATGAGTTTCCTTCATTTCACTTGTTGACCCATCATTCCCTTTTGCTAATTTTATCCCGGCACCTGGGTTGATATGAAACCTAATTAAAAAGTTTTGCCCATGACACCGCCCACTTCTGTTCTTGCTCCTCCCCCCCCCCTTGTGGGAGGAGCTTCTCACATGTGCTTTTTTGGTCTTCCCCTATGCTCCACATATACCAAACTTGACCCGATCTCTCTGGATGCTTCCTCACGTAATACCGAATTTCGTGACAGGCAGACAAACAACCAGACAGACGCCAGCGCGCAATAAATAGTATGGATATTATATCCCAGACCGGCATGGAGAGTTAGCATGACAACCGAATTATAGTTGCTTTCATAGAAAACCTTTCAGTACATGAACCTGGTGACTTTGGTGAGTACTTCCAAGGTCATAGATAGCAGTGCCGTGGATGAGATGAAACAATTGCGTAACGACATTGATCGGATGCGCGAGATCAAACAAGAACCAGAGAAGCGAAAGGTCAGAATAAACTGCGGTGTTAGAGCGTTTTGAAGTTTTGGTTTTTGGCAGCGCTTCAGCGCCTTTGCTGAACCGTATTGTTCCATGGAATTGCTACGATTTTCAGCATGGTATGGGACGTTCTCGTTCGTCATCATGCATGGAGCGCATGAGTCCAGTCACCCTCACGACGGAAGAAGAGCGTCGTACACGTTCTTCCCGTCACGTGCTCAGGGACAGATTCGGAAATGTGAAGCACTTTCTCTTCCCTTCTGTTTCCTAGGCATTCGTCCTCTATTTTTCAGGTAAAAAATCCCATCAAAGAGGTAGAGCCTGGATCGGAGGACGAGGACGAGAGCTTATTGGATGTTACGCACCACGCGAGGAGGAAGAGCCACCGAAAGAGGTCAACTAGAATAGTGTATGTTTACAAAAGTGCTATCAATTCATGCAGACAGTTTCCATGCTAAAGGTATTTAGGACCGATTTGTCGCCCATACCGGATTTAAGCCGATGTCAGGAGCCAGATGAGCCTGTGTCACCTCGCAGTCGTCGGTTGTCAAGGATGTTGCATAAAGCTCCGTCCCCCCTCGAAGACATACCTGAAAAAGAGGTTTCTGGTTTATTTTGTCAAACGTTCCGTGATGTTGCGATAGTTAAGAATTTTAGAATGCCATGGACCAAACGTTTATTTTGGAAAGGCCGTCTACTGACAGTTCGGATTGTAAAGATCCTGGACCAGGTGTGAGTAGTTTTTTTTTCATTCATTATATGTGATGAAGCTTTGACACATTTCATAGGATTAAATCGTTGACAAGAGTTGATTGGGGTCATATTAGGTTCATCAATCCAAAGCTACGTCACGATTTTTTAGAATAATCACGAAAATCCAACGAGAAAAGCTTCCTTGGTTTCTGGACTGTCCCATCACATGGATGTAACGCTAGGTCCTTTGCCATCGTCATGAACCGTGATAACTCTTGTTTAGCTGTAAAAATAACAATATTCGTTGATGTGTATTCGCTGTAGTAGTTGTAATGCTATTTGAATCACTCATTCTTGTATACTTCGTGTGAGTCATATGTATATGTACTGAATGTATCGGTATGCTATCTATTAAAAAGTTATCCAACTCTCTCCTGTGGCATGTTTCTGTAGAGATGCGCTTGACGCAAAAACTGCTGCTTCAGAAGTTTACGTCTGCATTTGTTTACCTTCAGATTCCAGATGGATTCAGACATGCGGAAGTCTTTTCCTGCATGGACACCACCTGAAATTGTAGCTGCTTACTCCGAAAAGGTTAGTTCTCTATACATTGTCTTACTTTGATGAGCTTTCTCCTCCAGCTTCTTTCACAGTCAGACGTGCTATACTCATCTTTTCTTTTGGGAAAGCCCCAAAACCCATGCCGTAAATAGGTCCAGAGTATGGTCGATTTCATGAAAGCAGATGCCCTAGGGCTTCTTGTTTGGAGGTTAACGCTTTGTTTAATCTGTGTATTTCGACGTACAAGGCAGCACTGCACTGATTCATTGCACTGGGAATTGAAGTGGGCGTTCTGGTAAAAAGTGTTCATGTGAGTCAAGCCGTTCCCCTTGCAACCGTTCGGGGTCTGATCTTACCATTAGAATGAGGCAAATGCTGAACTCAGTGGTAATTACGGGTTCATGATGTGGAGAGCTGATTCGGTACAACGCCTTGCACCTTGCTGAAATCGAGTTATGAGATCAAATTCGTCTCTTCATTCAACTTTGCCTAGTATCCAAAATGAAGCTCTGTTTTTCTCTGCAGTTAAGTCTTCACCGCTTAGTGACCATCCAAAATTTAGTATAAAAACAGGGTTTTTTTNCCGGGCTATCGCACTTCAGATAGTTTCAATCAGCTAGAACTGTTTACCGAGCCAGTCTGAGACAATGTTCTGGAAAGGGTGCATCATACTCCTTTGAACCAGTTCTCTTTTTACCAGGCGCTGTTAAGAGTGGGAGGGTGTGATATGTATTAGTACCCGAATGGATATTTTTCATTTAATGAGCTCAGCTGGTGGGACGTGCATTTCATTTTACGACAGGCTACTGCAACATGCGTAAAGCTACTTCGCGCGTGAAACTCGGTTGTTTTTCGTTATGGCGGATTGATGGTGTGGATAAATTGAGCTGCTTCTTTCGTTCGAGTGATACAAGCTTTTGCTACTTTTGATGGTTCTGCACACACGGGATAACAAGGTTCGTATTCAAAGGAGTAAAATGAGGTGTATCGAGGAGTGGCGGTGGCTCTTGATAAGAGTAACTGTTGTGGCGGATAGGCGAAGGGATGAGAGTTCCGTGCGAAAAGCGACGTCGTGTTCTGTGCTGGCGATCGCTAACTACTGTGAAACGCGGGCAACTGAAACGTATGTGCGTGTCACAATCTTACGAATGAGCTGTGATTCAGGAATGACCAGAGTGAAATGATAAATGGTAAAGCCTTTGAGCTTTGATCAATCCCGTGTGAGGGGTGCACCCCAGAATTTGACACCGTAGTGGCGTATTGAACGTGAATGTGTACCTTATACAAAGACTTGTGATAACCAATGTGCAGATCAGTGCCTTCATCCTCCCAGACGAGTCTGGTACCAATTAGCCGATTCCGGAGAGATGGAGGGCCTGGTTAGCTTAGGCTGATATAGGTCCGGGATTCGAACCCGTGACCATGTGTGCATGATCATGGGCCACTTGCCAATATACCTCCGGCTTCCGGAATGACTATTGCTATTTAACAGAGTATTGTTTCTTATTGCGTCATAACCAATGTAGTAGAATGCTTTCTGATACTGTATCGTTTGGGCTATCAGTTCTGTAGTATATTTAGAATATCAACTACTTATTCGAATGGCAATCAGATGTCGTAGAGTTTGCAGAGGCAAACCCTTGCAACATTGTGTACAGCGCTCCAACTAGTGCTGGGAAAAGTATTGTAGCGGAACTTATAGGTGGATTTTACTTTGTAGTTTTGTTTTCTTTTTTTGTTAATGAAAACTTTACAGCTCTTCGTTTGGCTTTGACTGGCAGGAAAGTACTCTTCTTACTTCCTTACATTTCTGTAGCAAGGGAAAGGCTGCATTTCCTTCAGGTGGCTTTCTAAATGATTAGTACTCTTTACAAAAATCAGCGTTTTTTCAAAATTTACTCCATGTGTCATATTAAAGGTGTGAGGTCATTGTCGTAAACTTGAGCTGGTATCACCATTTTGTAAGTACATTCGATATTTTCCAATGATGTTTGCAGCGAGCTTGGCGCAGGGTAGATGTGCAGGTGGCAGCTTTTGTCGGAGCTCAATCTGCTCCTTCACGAGAATGGACTGCAGCAGTATGCACTACTGAAAAGGCGAACAGTCTCATAAATCATGCTATTCTTGATGGACACATGACAGAAATAGGTACACACAGTTGAGGTTTCTTTCTCGATTCTCAGAAGCTGATTGGCTTTTGAAGGTTTGGTAGTTATCGACGAGCTGCACATGGTCTACGATTCATCACGTGGTGGTGTATTGGAGTCGCTCTGTGCAAAAATAATTCTTTGGAACTCCCGGTAGGTCGTACCCTTTACGTAAAGGGCAACCCTTCAGAGCCATTTTTATGAATTCTCGATTTCTAATTCTTTTAGGGAAGTCTAGTGAGCGAAGAAAATGTCAAATGTAAGAACACGCGTTCAGAAAAGTAGTCATTTCATGTGCACTTCGATTTTAGTTAAAATTTTTTGATTTTGAAAAGTTCTGACACGACGAGAGACGTCGTTCACATCGATCAATCAATTTACGAACATAGCATTTACAAGATTAGAACTTTTCAAAAACAACGAATGCATGTAGTGCTTTGGTTCCACTACCTCCTCCTTTTGTTTCGTTCTTTTCATTTTCATTTACTGGTATTTGGTTCACTTCAGTTCACTTTAACAGCCTGAATTTCTGCTCCTTTTTCAAAAATCATTTTTTTTTCTCATGGCATGCATCAGTAAATATTTCAGAAACCCGTCATCTGCTGTACGAATAATTGGAATGAGCGCAACGCTAGAGAATTTGGAAGAAGTAGGCCTTTGGCTTAATGCGAAAGTATGTCTCAATGATCATGATTCTTGAACAGAGTTCAGTCACCCTCCATTTTAGAGGACGAGGAATGTAGCAAAGTACATGAGTGTTTCATGAATTATAAGCTCCTCCAAATCCTGTCCGAAAGAATGTTTAAATGATATTGTGATTGGTATTGTAGGTGATTGCGACTCATTTCCGACCAGTTGAGTTGCACGAACGACTATGCTATGGTGGACGTATCAAAGACCTTAAATCGGATACTCACATAAGAGATGTTCCGAAGAGATTTCGAGTTGCCGGCGATCCTGAATGTGTCTTGGGGTCTGTTTCGAACAGCCGATTCGTCATTCTGTTCTTATGAAATTTGTTCATTCTAGTTTAGCAGCCGAAGGGCTTTTCTTCCGAAAGCTTGTACTCGTATTTTGTTCATCGAAAGCGGAAGTCGAAAAGGTTAGAAGCGCTAATGATGATTTTTCTGCTCATTGTACGTGATTATGGTTGAAGTCATTCATTTTCACATATGCCAGGATTGCTTCCTACCTACTGCCTTGTTACAGGTAGCTCTTGATTTGGCCAAGATCTTGGATGAAATCTATCGCTCAAATCAAGTGATTGCTTCTCGTCTTGATCGGGCTGCCCTTTATCAAATAAGGATGAACCTGGAGCAGTGCGCTGGCACTGTTGACACCGTTCTGGCGCAGACCCTTCCAAGAGGGGTTGCGTTTCATCATGCAGGTTATTTTAACACCGAAGGCCTTATGTATTTTTTCTATGCCCTGCCAATAAAAAAGGAGTGTAATTTCATGCTCGTGTGAGCAGTCACAGCGCGTTTTCATGAGGTAGCTGCAGACGAAGTTAGACTTTTGTTTCTATCGACTGAAGCTGGTTTTTTGAATACACTTCCCTTCATCCCACACATTAGTCGTCTGGATCATTGAATTTCTGGTCATTTGTTTTAATTACTGATTTAGTCACCTTCTCCATGGCCAATGCGATGCTTTGCTTAGTGTTCTTTTTTTTTGCTCCTTCCATATCAATGTTTTGAGACAGGAGCTAAAAATTCTTTAGGGAACTTCATGATTGCAAAAGTGACTCGAGTTCGACAGAACTTGAAAATATACAAAAACAAGTCATAAGTAACTGTCGATAGTTAACTCATGAATAAGGGTCATACAACTAAGCGCACATGAGGGAGACTAGTCATTGAGATATGAAATGTCGTCATCGGCAAAACTAGAAAATTTTGTTTGCATAAGGTGAAAACAACGAATTCCAGGGCTGACAGCTGAAGAGAGAGAGTATATTGAAGATGGCTTCCGTTCTGGCGTTATCATGGTACTCGTTGCTACTAGCACGCTATCCTCCGGTATATTCTCATAACGTTTTTTTCCATTTTTCAGAATGAATAAAATGAAAATATCTAATGATAAGATAGAATGAGTTTGAATTGAATTTAGGCGTAAACTTACCCGCTAGCCGAGTGGTCATCAAAGCGCAGACTCGTGGCCCGGCAGCTATTAACGCTATTACTTACAAACAAATGAGTGGGCGAGCTGGTCGATTAGGCCAAGTTGAAATAGGTAAGTCCTACGATTATTCAGTGCATCTGCTTACATGCGTGATATGCGAAAGTTGGATGCTACTAACAATAAGAGGTACAAGAATGTCGCATTTTTGGTCGCGGATTCGTTGAGGCATCTAAGGGTCCTTCGCGGTTCGCTCTATGCGTCACAATTCTCGCATAAAATTCGATCTCGATTATGGTCTCGCAGCTCATATAGACTCCACAGATACCTCTTGGTACTAAGGGTTAACGCCGAACTCTCGACGCTGAAGACTAGTAAGTTTATGACAAGCTTTGGTGAGAACAGGAGTGGTTTTGGCTAATGCTCTGTGAACTCTTTGGTTAAAAGTGATGGGATGAAGTTTTTGGACGTTTATCAATTCCGACTGAGGAATGCGCCCTCGCCCTGACTTCCATTTAGAGTTGCAGTGGCGGTATTGAATGCGTATGTGGCCCATACAATTATCTACAGTGACCGGGTAGCCGATGTACAAAGCAGTATTTTTAACCTCAAAGACGAGTCTGATACCAACTAACCTGCTCCACAAATATGGGAGTCTTGAGTGGCTATGGATCCGGGATTCAAACCCATGAACATGGAGTGTGATGGTACTCCAGTTGCCGCTACATCGCCTTTACCTCGAAGTGATAGAATGAAAAACGCAACCCAAGGACAGTTTCTTGTTGGCGGTTGCGGAAAGTGTGCGTAGAACTGTCAAAAAAATCTCAAGGAAGTCGCTTCACAAGCATTACTCTTATAAATATTGTAATTATTACGTGTCATAGCTGCACAGTTAACAAACCGGTGGCGTAGTCTAAATTCGGAGCGCAAACTCTTTACAACTGAAGCACAAAACCTTCTCCGCTTCTCAAGAAGCGGCACAATACAGTAATCACTTAAGAAGTCACGGTGGTCAGTTGCCGGCGTTGTTTGCGTGTGAACAATTAGAAGACGGCTTTGCTGCCTTCTTGACACCGTCATCGTCACACTTGAGATAATTACGTCGCTTACCGTAATCTTGTGTATTGATTGCGAAAACGTTTATAGTGGAAGTATTTATAGGCAAAATAACACTTATGATATGTTACTGGTAAATAGGTATCATTGTTCGTAGAGTTTCGTGTGTGAGGGTAGAACGAACGATCCATGATTGTGCACATGTTGATCCATAAGCAACCGCTGTTGGCTAAGCTGTCCGACCAACTGAAATGGGCCAACTGGTCCCTATTCTCAGTTTTCTACCCAAACTGCAAATCACCTACCTTATCCTCATGGTAGATGGAGTTCACATTGGCGCTGATTGAGCTTCGGCTTGACGGACCATCATCACTATCGCTTTCGCTCATGTCACTCGACTTCTCCACCTGCTCCAAGTGTGCTGCAGCCTCCATGCTCTTTTTGTGCATACCTGAATAGGCTCCTGTACTACTCAGGGAAGATTCTTCTGCTCTGGCATACTAACCGATTGTAATTTAAGAAAATGCATTAATTGGTGCCAACTGCAATTATCGAGGTGGTTGGTTATTAGGACAATGACTAATTTTGCAGTTAGTTGCCCCGAAGGTCGTCTGGGACTGAGATCGTTTTGTCTCAATGGCCATGTGCATCGAACACATTATTATTGCGATAACTGACTGACTGGCAGTTTCGTTAATGTTTGTCGTTGGGCTTGATACTATTGGGTTACGGTTCCTAATCAAATAAATCGTCATATTGCGACAAGCGCGTTGCCACTCTTTTGGAGTTTTTCAGTTCGCTTAGAAAGGAATTAGTTCTCCAACCCTGAAGAGGTAGGTTTTAGACTACCACGCTTCTTGGTAAGTTTGCTGATGGGAAAACTTTGGCTAGAAAACTTCTTTGTACTGTATACCGAGTTTCGTCATACGGTGAGTGAAGAAGGACGAGTATCAACCTGCAGGTACCTTACCAAGTGCTTATGAGTAATGGAGAAGCTATTGATTTCCTTCATCCCACATGGATCCGGCTCCGGGGCGCTAGAGCTACTGAGGTCCATGAATTCAACCCGGTAGAGGGTTGGGTTCACTTGATGTTGCTCAGTGGAATCCATGAATTGCCTCTGCTCAGCAGCCATCCTGCTAATCAGTGGCGTAAACATGCTAGGGCCTTCTATTCTGCCTTCAATTGGCATAGATGAAGTGAGGCCCACGACTTTTTGGGTATATAGTAGTCTTGGTGGCCAAGCATAAGAGGGCCCAAATGAAATGAACCTAACATAGCTCGAAAGTCATATTAAATGACATGACGGGTAATATTTTTCGTGCGGCGTCCTTATTGGATTTTACCTGAATTGGCTGTGTTCGTGCTTCAACATGGCTTATAACTAGGAGGGCTGTTTGTAATTAGATAAGTGCAATGAGGGATGGCGCAAAGAGGTCGAAGTCGGCCAACGCGTCATGGCAAACACCACCAGGCACGCTCTCGTTTCGTGTAACGCCACGCTTAATTGCTTGTAATTGGAAACACATTCGAGAATCATGGGAACTGCTCTTGATCTTCAGACGATTACGGTAACGAAGAAGTGGTTCACAATTCTTCCCGAATGAGAAGCGATTCGCATGGTGAAACGCTTCTCATTTGTGAAGAATTAACCTCATTTGGAAAAAGTTAATGCAGAAATTTTACCCTTGGATTCTCGTCCAGGAGGTGTTGATATCATTCAATCATTCCCTACCTCGCCAAGTTCTCTGTTTGTCCCAAGGCTTCAAAAAACGACTTTCCCCAAACGTTAGCCGTCGATAATGTGGTTTTGTTTTCAGTTTCAAAGGCTCAATTAGGTATAACTTATAGAAGAGGGGCTATGATCATTTCGAGATTATTGGAGAGTCAACCATGACGCTGTTCATAGGGCAGTTAATTG